CTTTATTTAGTCATTTTGTAAGAAAAAAACTCATAAAAGAACTCCTAGGTGTAACTGGGTGGTGGATAATCCCTTCGGCAGAGTTGTAGTTTTCTGAAACAGCTTTAGTGAGGTATCACTGACCTACAGTGAACACACGTGGGAAGCGTACAGGTGAAGAGTTCGACCTGTGTCCTGCACACCTGCGAAGCTGCCATCACAATCCAGACATCCGGCACACCCAGGTTCCCTCCTCCTTGCCATCCCTCCCTCCGCCTCCTCCTCCTCGGAGCAACCACTGGCCTGCTTGCTGTTGCAATAGATTCGTTTGCATTTTCTACATTGTCCTATAAATGGAGCCAGTGCTCTTCCCCACCCCCCCTCGGTCTTCCTCTTTCACTCAGAATAGTCATTTTGAGATTCATCACATCGTAGTGCGCATTAATAATTCACTCCTTTTCTTTGCTGAGTAGTAAGTAGTCCATTGTATGGGCCAACCACAGTGTATCCTCATCATCCTTTGATGGACATTGGGGTCGTTTCCAGTTTGGGGCCCATTGCAAATAAAACTCCTTGTAGTCACAACAAAATATTCTAATGGCAACAACGGCAAGAACAAAAAGAGCCGCGTGAAGCAAGTTGGGTGAAATGTTACTGTATTTGAATTTAGGGGATAGGTTGAGGCGAACTTATTATTCTCTCTGTAATTTTGTATATGTTTGAAAACTTCTTTTTCTTTTTTAAAATTAACTTTAGGGAGAGAGGAAGTGGGGGAGGCGGGGCAGGGGGGAGAGAGAGAAACATTGATTTGTCTGTTGTTCCACTTACTTGTGCGTTCATTGGTTGAGTGTTGTATGTGCCCTGACCACCTGCTTTTCATCCTTTGGGTTACATACCCAGGAATGGAATTGGTGGGTCCTGTGGGTAATTCTCTTTTTTAACTTGCTGAGGTAGACTTAGCTCTAACAGGAAAAAAAAAAAGATTAAAAAAATTACTAAGTAGTACATACATGTTATGAAAATCAAACAGAACCAAAGTATGTTGGATTAAAAGATGATTTTTTCATCTTTATTCCTTCCTCCTACTCACAGTTCGATTTACATCTTTACTCCACCGTCCATCTACCTGTGTATACCCACACAGGTGCAGTTTTTAAAAAGTGGTCTTAAATCATAAAGATACTGTCCTGCAGCTGTTTTTCTCCCATCGAAGGGATGTTGTGTGTGTCTTGGGTGCTAGGACAGTGGGGCCCACCCTCCTGGGGATGCAGGGGCCTGTGTGGTCCTCCACCGTTTGGATGGATCAACATGGACTGAGCCACCGCCTTTCAGACGGTCAGGAACTCACGTTGTCTGTGCTCATTTGCTTTCACAGACAGTGCGGTCGGAGCTTTCTTGCTCACGGAGACTTGTGCTCATGAGCGAAGAAGGAATCCTGAGAGGAAACTGGACGGATGAAAGGAAATGAGAATTTTAAAATCATGACAGATTCCCTGAATTGTCCAAAAGTCGGCACGACTTTTACTTTCTCTCCAACAGCGGCCGAGAGTGTCCATTTCCCCACATCCTCACCCAGATTGGAGGGTTCCGTCTTTAAATTGTTACGGCTTATGATTTTAAAAGCAGCCATTTCAGTGACCTCCCCTCTTCCTTTCCATTTCGAATCCTTTAACTTAAGTTTCTTCTTTTTCTTTTTTTTTTCAGCAAAAGGAAGGGCCTGGTTTGGACGGAGCATCTGCTCCCAGGAGCCCCTGGAAGCCGGGTCCCCCCGGGGAGAAGTCCAGGCAGGCACCGCGGAAGGATGGTTCCAACCAGGTTCCGACCAGCTGTCGTGGGGCAGGCCCGGCAGGGGCCCCGAGCTCCTCGGACGGCGCCCAGGAAGACGAGGGGAGCTTCCAGACCGTGAGGGCCACAGTGTTTGAGCATCACGTAGAGAGACACACGGTGGCTGACCAGTCGGGACGCTATCCCCCAACCACACCCCCTGGTGCTGTGACCCACGTCTCCGAGCCCCGACCCAGGCCCAAGAGAGGCTCGTGGCTGGGGAAGGACCCTCCAGAAAAGACGACCCTCAAGAAAGAGAACTCCAGGTGGTCGGAAAACCCCGACACCGAGAGAGTGGGACGGACCCCCCTCTTGAATGGTGACCCCAAACCGGATCACACGCCTCTCCCGGAAAGGCCCCCTCTGGGCGAGACACGCAGTAGCCACCCCTTCCTGAAGAGCTTGGAGCACCCTCCCAGGTCACAGCGGGTTGAGCCCAAGTACGTCGTGCACACAGTGGGGGAGCGTGCACACAGTGAGGCTGTCCCCACGGCACCGGAGGAGAAAGCCGTGGAGCTCCGGTGCGGCAGCGCCAGGTCCCGTCTCTCGCTGAAGGGGAGGCAGCTGTCCCCCGAGGTCGCCCCCGCTGACCCAGAGCGCAGGCCGGACAGCCAGGCGGGCTCCGTCCAAAGGGCCAGTCTGCTTTGGGAAGCCCAAGGCACGCAGGAGGTCAGCGGGCCCATCCCGGACCCCCGAGAGCCACAGGGCACGGTGGGGGGCAGCGGCCTG